TAGAATCATGCTACGATGACCCGACTTGTAAATTTGAGATCCCTTTTCTGTTCGTCTTAATGCTGCCTCCCCTCATTGCTACTTCCATTTTCGTATTTTTATTTTTATTTCTTTTTCTCTTCATCTCTTCATTTCTGACTCTTCTCACTGGTTGTCATCGCCTTCATAAGATTGGGCAGAACTGCCCGTTTGACATGCGATGTACTTCCTCCGCGTCATTAAAATTGTCGCTTCCCAGAATTATTTTGTCCACTCGAAGGGCACAGAAATCAGCTAGAAATTGAGGCAGAGCATTGTCGACGGGCCAAGCTTTAGTTTGTGACCCCCCCGCTTCGCTGCACTTGCAGCTAAGGTCGACGTCTTCATCAGAGTGTGAGGCAGACCCTTCAGCACTCAACAATACGCTGAACAAGACGCACGTTCAAATTCAGGTCAAGAAACTTCGTTTTCAGGCGATCCATGCCTCCAGGTGCCAGGCGATGAAGGCAAGCTTGCATTTTTCAAGTACAATGCTCGATGTCTGTGTCGATGCCTGGCCACCATACAAAGCTGCGGGCTAGTGCTTTCATCCGAACCAGCCCAGGATGGCCACTGTGCAGCTCCTCCAGTACTCGGTGGCGCAGTGGGGAAGGAATGACGACACGGATTCCCCACATGACACACCCTTGGTGTAGGCCCAGCTCATCTTTGCGTCGTACAAACGGTTGCATGTTACCGTCGGTTGTTGACAGGGCCCGTCCGGTGCTGACACTGGTTAGGACCTTGGCGAGAACTGGGTCACGGTTTGTGTGACGCGCTATTTCAGCTGCCGTGACTGGAAGCGGGTCGATCTGGGCCATGTTGAACACGTCTGCCCAGTCTAGGCTCTCATCCTGTGGTGAGTGTGGCAACGGTAGTCGTGACAGGCCGTCAGCGTTTGCATGATCGGCTGATTTGTGGTAATTGATCTCATAATTCATGCTTGCTAGGAAGATAGCATACCGCTGTAGGCGGGCCGTCGTCATGGCTGGCAATTCCTTGCTAGGACTGAAGATAGCTGTCAGCGGCTCATGGTCCGTCAGCAGGACGAACGGTCGGCCAAACAGGTATGTGTGGAATTTGCAGACGCCCCAGACAATAGCGGTATCGTTCCGCGATCACCAAGGGCTTCGGAGCACAATGCGCAGCCAGCGCGTCGGACAGCTCCTTCAGGGTCTTGTCCTTCGGTTTGTCCGGGCTGACCAGGTCAGCCAACAGTTTGTAGGTCAAGCCACCAATCAGGGTCAGGAAGGTGGCTACTTGCCTGTCTTCAGCCACATTGTTGGCAGCGAAGTACTGCTCGACGCGGTCATAGCACGTATGTCACGTCCCAGGATAAGACAACTGCTGCTTGATAGTCTTGTGACAGCAGGATCTACATAGTGAGCAGCTCTGTGCTGAGTTGTCACGCCCTTTTTAGTACAACGTGGTTTGGCCAGTGTCTTGTCCCACGTGCTTAGCATGTAGGTTGAGCGACATGCGCTTTCCCACGTAGGTGACATGCCTTCTTGGCATGACACATCATGTGATCCAAGGCTGGAACCTTGTCAGGTAGGTTCTCGCGTTGTACGTTTTCTGGAAGTGCTTCACTTCCTGGAAATGTGACTCCAGGCTTTGTGCAAAACCACGTCACTACGACGTTCTACAGGTTTCCACGATGCCTCGGCGCTTCGTGCAAAGAGCCAAGACTAATATGACATTGTATAACAAGAGCTAAGTGCAAGACAGGAGACGTGTGCAAGAACCAAAACCGTCACCTGGTCACCGCGCAAGAGGTCAGAGTATCACGCAAGCAAGACCAAGAATGCAGCAGAACTTACCATAAGAAGCCGCTGAACTATGGCACGTTGGGTGAGCGGGCTAGCTCCCCAACGTGACCCTCATATACTCACATTGTACTCTGACGTGGGTGAGCGGGCTCCTCACGTCCCAATTTGGTCTTTCTTCTCTCGATGTCTTTCTTTCTCTTTCTTCTCGAATGATCACCGTGCGTATATTCTGCATTTCTGCTGACTGGCTGCGCACATTCCGGTTTGACTTGTTCTGCTATTTCCTGGAATTACCTCGCAATGATCACGCCATATATCTCTGAAGCACCCTATAAAAGAAGCTCTCATTCTCTCTTCTACTTCAGTTTTTAGTCTAGTCTAGTCTGGTCTAGTCTAGTCTGGTCTAGTCTAGTCGAGCAGTCGAGACTCGGTCTCAGCTCTCTGTCTTCGTTTACTTTGAGCTCGGATTTGATACTACTCACAACGTAAAACTAACATACTTTGTCTGTTGATCGTGTGGGGTTGAACTTGGACCAAGCCAGCTATATTGGTTGGCCCCTGGGTTGTGTTGGGCTTGTCGTGAGGCCACACGTCTATATTCAGTCGCCGCTCGTAGTGATTTCGGGGTCCGGTCACTCTGAGCCGGGGACGCGACATGTAGACCAATCCGTCGTTCCAACCGAAAATGGTTCCATGGCTCCAATTGCAACGGCCATCTTCGTCGCCAGTTGTTGTGTCTCTAATCAAGAGACTGTGGGTTCACACGAAGAGTTTACATACAAGTTTATTCTACGGTTGCAAAGCAATAAGAAGCGTTGAGGTATGATTGTGCTAGAGGATATAGGAGTTGTATTCCGGGTGCGGGATGCGTTGGGTGTTGGGTGGCAGTACAATAAATTGCTATAGAGAGTTCATGCCTAAGCGGTTGTGGTTTTAGAGTGGATCAATAGTACTTGCAATTAGATGAATACATGTCTGGTACATACACTACTGTACAAGCAGAAATATTCGTCTGGAATTTAATTTCGTCTTTTTCGTCCAACGACCTGTTGGACTAAATTAAATGCTGGACTAATATTAATTTGTCCAGCTTTTCAACACACTCTTATGATCCATGGACGAAATTTACAACCGGACGAACTCCCTTTCTTTGGAGTTGGACGAAAATATTGACCGACGAAATTTTCTGCTTATACAGTACATTATTCTCTTTATCTTATATGTGGGCTTTGCGCAGCAAAGCCTAGTTAGCCCATGCACACGCATGCTGGTGGTGGAGTGCTGCGAGTGCGTGTCATGTGACCACCTCGTGATTAAGCTGTGTGCGCCGTGTATGGCCTGGCAAAATTTTATGGACAATCGTGGATCCGGCGTCTAATTATTTGGAGACGTGTTTTGCTGAGCTGTCTTTGTGCGAAGGAGCATTCTTTGCAGTTGCAGTTTCTGTGTGAAGTCAAAGTTTTTTCCCTCCCTCCCACCCCTTTTGAAGGGGCATTTTGTTTCTCCGGTTGGGGGGGGGGGGGCAAACGGGCCTCCTATTATGTCTGTATGTTGTGACGCCTGATGCCAGGCAGTCGTGTGAGCCCTCGGTGGGCGATTGGCTGGCCTCGGTGGCCGTTTGTGTGCCCTCGGCGGGCAAGATGATATCGGCCCACGGTGGGCAGTTTGCTTGCCTCGGTGGCAATTTGCGCACCCTCGATGGGTTGTCTGCTGGTTTAGCCCTCGACGGGCGGTTTGCTGGCCGCGGCGGCCATTTGAGCGCCCTCGGTGGGCAGTATACTAGTTTACCCCTCGGCGGGCGGTTTGCTGGCCTCGGCGGCCATGTGTGCGCCCTCGGTGGGCAGTATGCTAGTTTAGCCCTCGGCGGGCGGTTTG